TGTTTTGTCCCCAAAAAAAAGAAATATTATTAACTTGTGTTACTTTTTTCGCCATTTATCCTATACTATCACCGCTCCTCCATTCAAATTACGATAATATTATGAAATTTAAAAATATTTTTTATTTTTTCCCTCAGAGCATTCTTAATAATTTTTTTCTAAGTATTAGGGTATATGAGATTTCATATCAATTATCCATTCAAATTTCAAACTTATAATAAACTCAGAAAAAATGGGCTTCATTGCAGCAGCTTTCTCCCCCAAAATCAAGTGAAGAACTAGGCCCAAGTAGCTTATATTTATCGTTCAAATCACATTTGGGCTGGGTTCGTAAAATGGTGTTAGTCATTCTTTTTCAAAGATCAGTGTATATCGCTGAAATCGGCCCACTTCAATGGGGCAACAAGATCAGTATTATAGGTCCGGCCTTTGTCCATGTTTTTTGAGATTTAGGGTACGTTTGGGGGGGAAATATATTTTCGAAGCAATTTAATTTTATTTTTCTACATTTGATAACATAAGTTATAAAAAAAGAATTTAATAGAAAAACACTGTCACAACAAGAAAAAAAATTTTTACGTTTGCTTACGAAAAATTCTTATGCACCGCCTCACCTCCTATTGTGCTTGATAGATATAGGTCTCGTTTGGCCTGAGCGTTAGAAGTTAGCGTTAGCGTTTTGAAAAAGCTATCTAACGATAGCCTTTAGCGTTAGTATTTTCAGAGTTAATTTACACCGTTACAATTTTATGCAAAACGCTAACACTAATAAACGCTCATCCTAAACAAGGTCGTAGACCTAGAAAAAATTATAACATGGTGATTAGGCATGATCTTCGTAGTAGAAAATACTCCCTCCGTCTCAAAAAGATTGGTACATTTTGACTAAAGTGGTAAAATAAGGAAGAATATTTTGGTGTTGACTTTCCAAAAATATCCTTGATGTGATGGGTAAAAGTAGGATGTGATGGGTAGATTATTAGGAAAAATGTATGATGTGATAGTTAGGGTATGAAAAAGTAAGGGGTAACAATGGTTTTTTAATAGAAATGTAAAGGACTTTAAGGGACGCAAATTTTTCGAAACGTAACTGACTTTTTGGGATGGAGGGAGTATATTTTTTGTTTGATTAGAGGAGAAAAGAAAGGAAAAGTGGAAAGAAAAGAAAATGAGAATTAAAAATGTATTAAGTGGAGGGAAAACCAAATTCTTCCCATTTTGATGAGGAAAATGAGAGAAAACCATTTTCTTTTCTTTTCCTTCCAAATTCTTTATACCAAACATAGTGTTAGTTTGAAAAATGTCCTGTGGCGCTGAATATTTACTTAAACAATGACTCGTGGATAGTGAAAGGTGGCAGTACATTGAGAAATAATAATATATGATGCTACATTGGAAAAATCACTATATTTAGAACTATTTAATTAAGGGGTTGTTTGGCAAGTTTTGAATAGGTAAGTGATGAACCAGTAAGAGGTCTGAACCATTAAGTGCTGAACCAGTAAGAGGTCTGAACCATTAATAGCTAGTATATTGTTTAACTATTCAGAGACAAATGTCTGATCAATTCAGATAAGAGGTCTTAACCATTCAGACTCTGTATAATACTTAACCATTCAGAGGCAAATGTCTGAACCATTAAGAGGATGAAACAAACAGCCCCTAAGTAAATTCCCTAAGTAAATTTCGTATCAAATAAATATCCGAATGAATTAAATCCATCTACGAAAATAAACAAACAGACCCGACGTACACTTTCCCAGAAATAGTATGTGATCAATACCACACAAATAAAAACAATATAGTCGTAACAAAAGTCTCCGAAGAAATCTTTGCATGTACAGTGCCCTAAATTAAGACATAATAAGTTCAAGCAATTTATTCGTTTTCTAGACCTAATAAACCATAAAATAAGTTTAATTTAATTCAATAATAATATATCATATGCATCCTTAACAACACACACACACACACATATAGGGCATACATATACATATACATATACATATATATAGCTAGGTTGCATGTAATACAATATGTGTTTCCTGTAGGAACACACTCCAAACCAATTCAATTAAGATATGCAAATCAGAACAATATTTCTTCATAAGTCAAAAATAATATTCGGAATTATGTCTTATTATACATACAATGTCACAATTAAGCTAGCCTAATTCATTAATTAAACTGTGACAATAATAATAATGGCCGCTCGAAACACTAGCTAGCTAGCTGCCTCACCTACGTACAAAACCTAGCTATATATGTTCCAAAGAAAACAAAAATAATTACTGGAATTAATCATTAGAGAAATTAATTAAATTAATTAATTAATTACTGGACAGTATGTTACACCATGTAAAGAATATATTCTGCTAGCTAAAGGTGGGTGCATTATATATTATATCCACAAATTAAAGTAACAATACTTTTCCTAATTAAATAAATGAAGGGTCGCGAAATATATAATATGAGAGGCAAGTGAAGTCAGATGATTGACAACTAATTAACGAGTTTGGGTGTCTGTCTGCAGTTTTGATTAGCATTTTCCATTAATTATGCTGCAGCAAAGATTGTTCAATTCCTATGATTGCGCCATAACTTTGCATAAATTATGTTCTCTCTGACAAGGGAAATTGGACATCGACCTTTGTGATGACAAAAATCAAGAGGTAGGACTGTGTTGGGAGTTCCATCCCATATCGGGAAAAAAACAACGAAGTGTTTAAAGTTTTTTTTGGTCTCTGTAGAAATATTATTAGAACTAAACTTGAATGATTTGATTACACATAAATCCGCTATTTATAATAGTTACAAGACTATGACCTAATTACGAGCCCAACAAGAATGAGCCCGTTAACGACAAACCCTATTACATTCCTTAACAGTCTCTTTTCTGATTGCCGATTAGTTTTAGGATGGAACCCACGCAGGCTTGTATGTTGGGGCCTATTGTGCAAAAGGTAACGCGCAAACCTGCGCCTGTCCCCCACGCTATATATGCAGATTGGTCCACCTGACATTTTATTTTGGTATATATGAAAGCAGGTTCACAATCTGGATTAGAGCTCTAGGTCGACCACAAGGCACGAAAAACATGTCAAGCGCACCTGGCAAAAATGTAGGACTAGGCAGTTGCACTTGACGAGTGGTGTTGAGAGCTCCATCCCACATCATAAAGGAAATGACAAAGTGCCAACACTATAAGTTTCATGGTCACTCCTCAGCTCCTATAAAATGCAACCCACATGAGCTTGTTTTTGGGCCTACTGGGCAAAAGCACAGAACCTGTATGATTGGCTCGACCACTAGACTTTTATCAATTTTATCGAATGGATGGCTTTTATCAATTTGTTAACCATAAATTGCACCAAACAAATACTCCATCTGTTCAAGTCTATTCATTTAATTTGACTTTTTAAAATAATATAGTCAAACTTTAATTATCAACTGTTCTCAATCTATAAATAAGTATAAGTATTAAGAATACTTTCATCGTCCGATAAACTTATTCCTGTTTTGACCTTTAGAAATTTAAGAGAGGAACCATCAAATTCTACTTAGGAAAAAACATGATAGGATAGAAAAGGTAAGAATTAGTATAAATAAACATGTTTTTTTAATAGACTAAGGGAATAACTTTGTGGAACACAAAAATAAAGAAAGACTTTTAGAGACAGAAAAAATACAAATGTTTCACTGAAAACCTTTAAAATTTATATGAGGAAAAAATTTCGAGCAGTGATTTGGGATTGACCTATTTTCTTCCTTGCTTTCTCTTTGGAAGGGAGAGTGGGAGGGAAGTGAGCGAGGAAAGTTGGGAGAATGGGAAGGATGGGAATAGATATATTTCCATTGTTTGGTTCGATAGATATTAATTACAAAAGTACGTACGAGGTAAGCATGGAGCGAGCCAATTGAAATTTAGGCAGTGTTTGGATAGTGACTTTTGGGATGGTTTTTTATTTTTCTCTTTTTACATGTGTAGTCCATACTAGCCTTTCTCTTCACTTGAAATCAATGATTTTGAACCCGGACCATGGATCGACCCGGCAGGGTGGACGAGTTCTGAGTCAATCCGGGTTTTTTCAGGTCGACCTAGTTTTTTCCGAGTTTTTCTGGGTGTTTGGAGAGTTGGACCGGGCCGGTTGTGTGTTCGGGTCACGGTTTGACCGGTCGGATCGCCCGGTCCAGTCCGGGTTTAATAACACTACTTGAAATTCATACTTCAATGATATAATCTCTCTGTCCATGAAAATTTTTCTGTTTTCTTTTTTCATCTGTCTAAAAAAATTCTTTTTTTTTATTAAAAAGTCACTTTTTTCCCTACAAATTCTTAGCTTATCTATGACATCACATATATTCACTATATTAATATACCCATCAAATTCTACTTTTACCCATCACGTTCAAACACATTTTTAGAAATTCAACACCAAAATACACTCTCCTTAAATCCCTTACAAATCAAAATCTCCCGTGTTTTAGGGAGGGAGGGAGTACATCTTTAGTTTAATTTGTTATATAATCCCTTTGTCCATTAAAAAAATTTCGGTCAATTTTTACAAATTATGAAAAATATATACTCCATTCTTATTCTATTTTAGTAAAAAAAAAGTGTAAAGTTTTTTTAATGGACAAAGGGATTATATAACAAAAAAAAAAGTGTAAAGTTAACTACTTCGTACGGTATATTTTTTATTCAGGTGACCTTATAATAATAATGATAATATTTAAATTAATGAAAACACTTTTAATACCATTCACTCTATAAAATATTTTAAATAATAATAAATTTGTTGTATAAAAATATACTTTCAATAATTATAGTAGATTTATATAATTAAATTCCATAAAAGTTATCAAAAATAGGAAGATGATTTAGGGACATAGAATTACTTCTTTCCTTTTTTGAAGAACTTTCTTTTTCTAATTTCCTTCTAACAAAACAAGGAGAATTAATTTATCTTCATGTCATGGTAACCAAGCCGATAGAAGAAAAAGCATCATAAAATATATTTCATATACCACCTTGCTAAGATTACATCATAAAATGGAATACACATAATAAATATGAAAAACTACTGACCATCCCTACCATTTGAATAAATCTACCATGTCCTACACAAATCTTTAAACTGCAATCCCAACCAAACACATCCCTGTCTCCCAGCCAAACATGCATTCCACATGCACTTTGGCTATTCAACAAATTTAATTGGAATTTTTTTCCCTTTTTTTTTTGTGTGCCCTAAATCCAAGTCCATCTACGTACATATATATACATATGCACATGTGAATAAATATAGTGTAAATATTTATATATAGAAACCACACAACACATATATATATATAACAGACAATTTTCTTTAGCGTATTCAAATGAAAACCATGCCGTTTTCATCCTCGAACGCCGCCATATCATCGTGTTCTTCGAAGTTCATGTCGAACAAGAACCCATAGTTGTCCGTACTGTCGCACTTTGGTTGCGGCATTTGGAAGGCGTGATCGGGCGCCACCACGGAAGCCGACAACGACGGGGGATTGTTGTTGAAGAAACTGTTGTTGTTGTTGGTGGTGGTGGTTGTAGCGGGGGTGGGGTTTTGGTTTTGGCTGGGGGCCGATGATGAGAGGATGGGACGGTAGGCAGCGGGAGTGGCTGGCAGGGAAGCGTTTGGGGGTGGAGAACCGCCGCCGTTGTAGACGGGGAACGCGGCGGCGGGTATCATGATGTTGTTTTCGTACATTGCGTTCATCATCATGTGGTTTTCGCTGCTCTCCCCTTTTGACTTGTGGAACACTCTGCATAAAACCCAGTCCTCCTGCACCACCAACAAAATCAAATTTTGACTCATTAAGAATGTGCAAAAAACATTTCTTTTAAGAGACAAGGGTAGTATATTATGGCACAACTTGTACCTTCTTGGTCCTATATTTTTTTCTTTAATAGACAGGGGGTATATTATGACACGAATTTTAATGAAATAAAATTTGTACGATTGTGATTTGTACTACCTCCGTTTCTCAAAAGAGTTCCTATTTTGACTTTAGGGGAAAATAAGAAAGTGTTAAATTGTAGTTGACTTTCCAATTTTGCCCTTGATGTAATGGGTAAAAGTAAGATGTGATAGTTTAGTTGTTAGTAAAAAAGTATGATGTGATATGTAGGGTATGAAAAAGTAGGGATAAAAGTGGTTTTTTAATAGAAAAGGGAAATGTTTTAAGAAAAACAAAAAAAATGAAAGAGGAAGGGTTTTAAGAAACGGAGGGAGTATAAAAGAAAGAAAAATATTATAGACCACCTATTTTTTTCTTTAAAAAGAAATGTTTTTTTAAGGAGAATCGAAGTAAGAAAAATAAGAAGCATAATTACTCCGTATAAGACAAAGTGAGTATTTTAAGTAACTTTACTCTGTATATAGTTAGCCAAAGTATGTCGAAAAAATCAAATTAATGTACTCTTTGTGTCCTTAATACTCCCTCCGTTTGAAAAAAGTATTTCTTTTTTGATTTTGTATGAAAAGAAGGAAGTATTAATTTTCTAATAATTGACTTTCAATTTTGTCCTTGATGTGATAGGTAAAATTAAAATGTGATGGATAGATTATTAGAGATAAAGTATGATGTGATATGTAGGGTATGAAAAAGTAAGGATAAAAGTGGTTTTTTAATAGAAAGTGAAAGTGTTCTGTTGGAAGTGAAAAAAATGAAAGAAGAAGTGTTTTTGAGAATGGAGAGAGTAGATCTTTTCAATTATTCTTTCAATAAATTTTTTTTATTACCTCTGTTATTATTGAAAATACCATAATTATCCTATTTACTTTATATATTACACCCCACAAGTACCTACTTGCAATATTTAATGTTGTTAGGGTAAAGAGATAAGGTAATAAATTAATAATGATAGATGTAGCGAGATAAGGAGAAGAGAAAACAATACTCCGTATTTCTTAATACGAGCAATAATTACGGAGTAAAATAATAATTTATGTCGCCCGTACGTACCATAATTATATTAATAATTAAGGTGGATCGACCAACATATATTCCATGACTCGGAAGTTAATTAATGATGATACTTACGTTAATTAGTTTAGCTAGCCGCAATATGTAGAAATATTTGCACTAAATAGCACTAAAACTTAAGTCATTTCCCTAAAATAATGACTAATGCATAATGACTAAAAGTGCTACATTGGGAAGAAAAACACATGTGGTGCTATTTAGGGAAAGTCATTATGTTTTAGTGCTATTTAAGTAAATTCCTCATATGTAACGTTGGGTTTACTCCAACGTGTGTGGGAAAAAGTTTTAATTCCCCCCCTATTTGATTAAAGTCATTGGTTATGTCTTTTTTCTCTATGGATTAATCTCGGAGCGAGACTCTGGACGAATTAGGTTTTTCGGTTAGGTTCTCGGATCGATTGATCTAACTGATTGGCTCTTGTTGAATAACACTAATGGACAATCAATCGATCATTGAAATCAAGATAATAACTGAAGAGACATAATAATTAATTTCTTATTTTTCCCGAACAGAAAGGTTACAAACAAATACGTGACACCAGTCAGAGGTCGTCACGCCATCCCAATTGGATGCAGCGTGGGGCCCTCGAGACTAGGGATATGGACTTTTGGTTGTATATTGGTTACGTGTCTTTATAAGAAGTTTGAGCATTCAAAGAAGCTTCCCACAAATCCTCTGGTCCCTTGTCACAATGCAATTATTAGTATAATTTTTTTCTTTTATTATTTTTCATTCCCTCCGTCACCACGTCAAGACACACGTTAGTAGGCTGCCTAGGTTTGGATAATACTAAACAAGCAACAATACAAAACTGACACGTGTTAATTGTATTTCCCGTAGTTACGTATGAATGAATCTAGGCATGATGGGATAAAAGTGACTTTTTAATAGAAATGAAAAGTGTTTTATGAGACGGATGAAAAAAGAAAGGAGAAAGATTTTATGGGACGGAGGGAGTATTATTCATCCAAATCTAAGAGTATTTCTAAACTCGTAATAACGATCAATTAAACGTGAATGAAAAAAACGTACCTTAGGGGGAACGAGGGGGTTTTCGAGGCGAAATTCGTGCATGATCCAGCCGGTTTTAACGCCGTTAGGGGCTCTGTTCTTGTAGAAAACGAGGGTTTTTCTCATCCCTACGATGGACTGAGTCTTGGGATCGACGACGGTCCGATCTTTTCCGGTGGCTTTCCAGTAGCCGGAAGTGGTGGCCCTGTTTGTACGGAACCCCGTCGCGTATTTCCGGTCTCTGAAGCTGAAGAAATACCACTCGCTCGAGTTCAGCTTCGCCACCTCTTTGTTTTTCATCATCATTAATAAAAAAACAAACCCCATTAGTACGCTAATTATGTTATGTTGGCAAAGAAATAAAACTAACTCGCCCAAAAAATATAACTAACATGGGAATTAAGGATAATGACCTCTGTTTGGCAACATCGTTAGTATTTTGAAAAAACTGTTTAATGTGAGCCTTTAGTGCTAGCTTTTTTTTTTTGAAAATTAATGTACATAATTAAAATATATTCAAATTATAATAAAAAACGATGTTTCTATTTTTTGATTTAGAAAATGTTTAGTAATGTCCGGAATATTAGGTTAAGGAATATTTTTTCTTGTCCCACAAACGCCTTCTCTTTTCTATTAAAAAACACTTTTACACATACTAATTCTTAATAAAGTCATCACATAATATGTTTTTGCTAATAATCTACCTATCACATCATACTTTTATCCAGTGGCGGACCAAGGAATTTCGGTGAGTGGGTTCACATTTTGTGCACAAAAAGAAAATGTTGATATTTGTATAGCAATAAATTTAAAACAAGGTAAAAAAAGTATCAATAAATAGCATTCTGAGATAAATATTGAAAGTTGTATGTAATATTTTTGAAATACTGTATAGTAAATATAATACGTTCATTGCTTTAACCAAAAAAGAAAAAAAACTAAACAACTAAAATATTAATTCTAGAAATTTCTTCAAATACTAAGTATATTTTAGGAATCTTTTTAAAACAATTAAACTTGTTCATACATTTCAAAAAAAATTGAACATTTTATAATTAAGTTTCGTAATTAAAGTTAAATCAATTTTCCAAATCTCTGTTCCATTTTCAAAAAAATAGCACCTAATCACATACTCTCTCCGTCTCAAAAAGTCTTTCCTATTTCATTTTTTGCGCATATCAAAAAACACTTCTATCCTGCCTTGAATGCCAAAAAAACTTTCAAAATAACTTCTACCCACAATAAAGAAGAAATGTTGTAAATTTTAGGTATTTTAGATGTCGATAGAAATGTTTTATGTGATGCGCAAAAATATCCTACCTTAAATTTTCTAAAAATCAAAATGATAATATCTTTATGGGACGGAGGAAGTATTTTTTAATTTTATACTCTCTGATTGAATCATTCCTCCGTATTTAAATAATTTGTAATTAATAACTAATTACGAATAAAAAAGGGGATTGGATTTGATTGTATAGTTAATTATATCTCAATCCATCGATCTTATCAAGATTTAGCAAAGATTAGGGAGGAAGAAGACAACCCAAAATAAAACAGGAGCATATAATAGCTAGAGATCCATTCCATAATATTGCAAAAATAAATTAAAAAAAGGGAAAAGAAATAATTGTTCCAAATGAAAATCGTCATCAACAAGAATGGCTTGTAATACAATCTTTAGCAAAAAGTGACGCACATAGTTGGCTAATCGTCAGAATAGATTCTCCAGGCATGTTCCCGCCTTTACCAAAATTTTTATTTTTATTTTTATTTTCAGAAAAAAAACTAGAATTATATATATATTTGTACATAATGGGAACAAAAAAAAAGTGACATAATAATTTCATTAAAGAAGAAAAAAAGATTTATATAAAAATAGTAAAGGCTATAGGATAACTCTCGTACGATGTCCATTTAAAAACATGCCAATAAAAGAAACATTTAGACTTGTGGGACTAATTTCTTACGTATAATTAAAGCATTATTATATTCATCCACTGCAAATAGATATCATTATTTTTAATTAATTAAACAATTATTTATTTCAATAATAACCCAAATAATAAAAACGATTTAATGGTGTTTTTTTAAAGATAAAGGAGGGAAAGAGTAGAATTGGCCAAGTGGCATATGACAAGTGACAACAAAAAAGGAACAGTGGGATTGGACTATTTGATTATGTGTCTCTCTCTCTCTAATTCTCTTCCATAATTGCAATTAGTACGACTCGTAGGTCCATAATTATTGTTTGTCTAACTGTTTTTATGAAACAATTAAGGTATAAATTCATTTAAATATTCTCATGTTGTTGTTATTATTACCATGCCCAGCTAATTAATTAAAGACAAAAATAGAAGAAGAAATATTCTCCAATAATTAATTACTTGTAAGAACGAGGGCATGTGGGGAGGATGGGAGGTGCGTAGCTAGAGGGCTAAATCTGTCACTTCACCAAATGGGTACACAATTGTACTGTGGAACTAAGTCGGCATAACGACACACCAAAATGATTCTTTTGTTTATTATTTTCACTTCCATCACTCTCATTTTTTCCGGCAGTAAGAAAAAAAGTAAGCTTTTTTTAATAATTGAACAACCATTTAGGCCACTAAGTTTAAAAGTATCGAAAAGTAAAAAATATGCTCGTTATGTTTTAAAATTATTGTTCTAGTTCGATTGTTTTGATGGTTTTGACCATAAATTGTGGAAAAAAATATTCAATTATAATGTAAATTTTTATGTAAATGCATATGTTTTTTAAATGCATATTAGATTTATCAAATTTTCTTACAATACAATAACTTTGATTTATTTATTTCAAATTATATTTAATTTATGGTCAAAGAGACCACAAAAGTCAATTTAAATATCTTTTTTAAAAGGAAATAAAATAAGTGGAAAATTTTAAATCTGTATATACTACCTTTTGACAAATGAAAAGTGGGGAGTTACTAGAAAAAATTAATCCCTCTAATCCCCATGATGATATAGAAGTTGAAAGTAATGCCCTTAAAATAATTCTATCCAAAAAAAATATTGCAATCATGAATCAACCTTTACATATTACATTGTACCTTACTCATAATTACATTTTTTCAAAATGCCATTGAAAATAGTTTATAATGATCACTAAAGAAAATTAGGGAGATGTTTACAAGATAAAATGAATTGATTTTTTAAATTTGTTTTATGTGAAGTTTGGAATAAAATCATTAAATAATTACACATTAAAAAACTATAACATAAAAAAATGACATGATTACATTATTTGTTCAAAAAATATTGAACACACAAGAAGAAAAAATTTAACGGAGCAATTGTAACTTTTTTGGGAACAAAGGGAATAATATATATATATATAAATTTTTTTGAAGAGTTTTTCAGATATCAAAACCAAATACAATTGATCAAATAAACCAATACATAGCACCTTATTTTTTCCGTTTATCACGTTGGTTTTTTAGAGTCAGATTTAAATCTTAACATAGAACTTTATATATTCTAGCTAGTAGAGAAAGTTTTGAGTCAACGTGGATCCTAAGTAAATTGAGACCTTGGGTAGTAAAAAAAATTGGGTAATTAAATATTCACTTTGGTCGAGGGCATGGCCTTGTGAGAAAATTAAGGAGATATGATATTTTCTGTAATGGTGCTTAGTGATTTATTGTTGCTAAATAATTTTTAACTTATAAGCTGTTTATAAGTCAAATATTCTTTCGTGTAGGTAAAACAACTTCAATGATGTATATGTCATTTGAGGATATTCATAATAGCTAGGTAAGGGATAGTTTTGTAAGTATGTAAGACGTACTTATTTTTTTAGTTTATAAGCAGGTTATAAGTCACCTTATAATTACAGACGTCATCAACTGATTTATAAAATAAAATATTTATAAGCACGAAGAAACACCTACTAAATTTAGAGCCATGCTAGGTGTACACCACTTGGTGTACACCATTTTGGACACCAAAATTTTATATTCACACTTTCATGGTTCACACTAGGTCACTAACGAAATGTAAATGTAAAATTTTATGATTGCACTGACATTTTTGTGCAATTTTGAGCAATGAAAGTGATGTTGCAAAGTTGTGGTATGGTGAATGGTGAACAAAAGTAGTGCATTATTGTTAAATTTTAACCGGATTCATATCTTCTCATTGCAAAATTAATTGTCCTCATTCATGTTCAAATAATGCCAAAATAAAAAACCATTTTTGAGCAAGGAATTTAATTTATTCTTTTTTTACCAATGATCCAAGTTTGACCGACATTTTATGCATAAAATGTTTTTGTATCTTCAAAAGGGTTAAAATGTACGGAGCACTTAATATACTTAAACTAAGATAAAAATGTCATTATGTATTTATGTTATGATCTTTTAGAACATCAAGTAGTATTTTTATTTTACAAAAGGAGTACCCGGAGTAAAAAAAAGTGCATATAAACTTTTGAGGGGTTCTGTAAAAGAGAAATTAAAATTAGACCTTTATGAAATTAAAAAAAAATTGCATATAAACTTTGAGGGGTTCTCTAAATTTTCAAAAAGATTTTTTAGTACATTTAAATTAGTCATGATTATTTTTTTGACAGCCTTTGTCATGAAATTTACTAATATTTTACTATTTGGAAGTAAAAAATTACTCCATATATGTTTATAGATGAGAACCAAAGAGTAACAAATTAAATGCAAATAGTAACACATAAAATTCAAAGTAAATTTGGTAATTTAAAGAAAAAAATAAATACACATTATTTTGTAATAATAAGATTGTTTAACCAAAACATATTAAGTTTGAACACTCATTGAATATTCTATATGTACTATGTATAATTCACAGAACATATATATGAATAATTTTTTTTATGTTTTTTTAGGTTTATCTCTTATAAATCACTATTGATGAGGATAAATAAAATGAATAGTTTATTATATTGGCCCTTTTGTATTTTTGAATCACATTAGGTTCAATAAGTTTAAAACTTGGTCATATTTGTTAAATGACATGAAAACTGTTTAATTTCTATGATTAATTTTTATGGTGGATAAACTTTTCCGGTTAAAAAATAAATATAATTTCACGTAAACCTAAAGAGCATGTAACCCTCATGAGGTGACGTGCCATCTTTTTAACCACAGCCTAAATTGTGGAGAGAATATATATAGTACGAGTAAGAATTAGTGACCAAATAATTAGCTATGGCTGCATAATTATATAATCTTTGAATGACAACTCATTTGTTGCTTTTATAATAAAATATAATTAATTGATATTAATTATAATCTTTAGCAGAAAATAATTATGGGGAATTATCACATATGGTTTATACGTGTGAAAAAGGGCAATTTCAAGAAAGAGATAGAATATTTCCGGAATTAAAATCTTGTGTAACAATAAAAACTCCATAATTGGTCCAATTCGATACATATTTTTACATATTTTCTGGCTACAAACATGCGAAAGAAAACTAAATAATATGTCCATCGGATAAGATTAAATCAGTTATTCTTATCATATACGAATAATAAGGCCGGGGTACAAATTTAATTATAGAAGCAAGCTCCCTTCCTTTTTCTCCCTCACTTTCCGGAAAAAAGTTGCCTTTTCTTATTAATATTAATATTATTATTAATATTATTATTATTACTTCATTTTATTAAATATTTTTGGGTAAAGAAATTAAAGTGAATTCTCGTCAGCAAGGTTATCAAATATTATTAAACTTGTATATAATTAGCAAAAACGCAAGAATTGAACTCACAAAAAGAAAGAAGGAAGGAAAGAATAAGCACAAAAAAATGCTTAATTTTAAATTTGGGGGGGGGGGGGGGGGGGGGGGGGGGGGGGTGGAGTGTGGTGGTTGCCCAGTTGGGACGTGTTTGGGAGAAACCCAAAAACAACAAAAAGTTTCCACTTTAATGACTAAATGATCAAATTCCAAATTAATAATAAAAAAATGAACCAAGAAAGAAAAAAAAAGCTAAGAAAGAATGGAAGAAGCTAATTAAAGAAATAGCATATATATATATATATACCTGGAAGTTGCCAAGGCTCACAAGTGTGGAGGTCAATTTCGACCAAAGTGCCCTTAAGAACATCTTCATTTGCAATCTTTTTGTACAGATAATGGCACACTAATTCTTCATCGCTGGGATAGAATCTAAACCCTGGGGGCAAAGCTGCTCCAATATCTCTTAAACCCATTTTTATTTTTTATTTTTTTTATTTTTTCTTTTGGGCTGGAGATATATATATATTTTTGGAGATCAGAACTGAGCTTTGGGATTCCCAAAGAATCGATATATATATGGTTTGTGGTTTATATATATAAGAGGAATTGATCAGAAAGCTGTGTATGTGTATGCAAACAAGGTAGGGAATATAATATATATTCTGTAAAGGTTATTGGAAGGGAAAGAAAGAGATGAGAAAGTTGGTGCCAACGTACTCCAAATAAGCTCTCAATATATTTCTTTAATACATAGATATAGATGATCCTTTTATATATATATATATATATATATATATATATATAGACACACACACACATTGATAGACAAATATAAAATGCAGGGAGATTATTTTTTTTAAATTTTTAAAAAAATGATTGCATCCAACCAAATCACAAGGGACCCACCATCCTAGCTAGTCTCTACAACATTGCCATCTTGAGACAATATTATCATTGTCTTCTATCCTCCTTAGAGTTCCTCTTTCATTTTTTACGTTTTCTTCAAAACATTTTAATTTTATTTTTGTAAAAAACAACAAATAGTCTAATATATCTAAATAAAGTCATTGCAATATACTATATCCATTTTGCATTGATTTAAAAACTTGTTTAAGTGATTTCTCTCTTTTTTTCTTCGACGCTAATGAAATAATTGGAAGGTCAAATTACGCAAATACATCTATCAAGAGTCAAAACAGGAAATGTTTTTGCAAACAGAGTGAGTATATCATATATTTCTTGTGTTATCTTTGTTTGTAGTGTTTTTACTCAGGCACGTGTTTGTGAGTTTAGTGTCATCAAACTATATTTTTAGGTTATTAAATTTATTACTCTGTAAATGACTTCACACACTTGGGAGTAGGAGTCCAAGGGCAGAGCCCGGCCTTTGCTAGATCTAAAAGTCTATGATGCTTATGTACTCAAATACTACTATATATGTAGTATTTGAATATGTACTTCTTGAAAAGATGTGTTAGGAATTGGTTCATCCAATCCGATGTATCGAATCGGAGCTTGACTTGATGTCCGAAGACCAATAAGATGTTAATTGGTCGATGGTTGAGCCAAATAGTGCATCAAGCTAGAGACTAAACACGACTAATTAAGGATAGTTTGGACCTCGCTAACTTTCAAGACTTCAAATTTTTTTTGGGATACGTTGTAGGGTTATAAATTTAGGAAAATTTAAGTACGTCGAATATTTAAAGCTTGATCATGTTTACAAGTTTTGTAAAGCTCTTTATAGAATAAAGCAAACTCTATATGGTTAGTATGAAAGCCTTAACTACATAATATATATTGCTATGAAAAGCTACAAGCTGGGGAGGACTGAGAATACCATGTTATACATCGAATATGAATATAAAATGCATATTTGTTCTTCAAATTTATATGTTGATGATATTATATTTAGTTCTACTTCGCAAGTTAGAGTTGATAGATTTGTGAAAGTCATGGAGAGTGAAATTGAAATGAAGGTAATAGGTTGAACACCAATCCATCCGACACACGAAAAGATTAACAAATCTAATCGCAACTTTAGGAGGATGTTTTTTTTGTTAAAGGAAATTTTATTGTTTAGTTGAATGTTAGAATATATATAACAACAAGCTTGAACTTGCGATTGAGTTAGTCTATTGGAGCATTGATAACCAAGAAGTCACAAATTCAAATATCATTGTCATCTAATTAAATAATAATAATTTTCACGTGCAATGCTCGAGTAAAAAATAAATCTCGTATGCATTTGAAAAGTTGTGTTAGAATATAAAACTTATCTTAGGCCTACAACTACTACAAGCTTTAGGTCGTCCTTAAGTTGATTCATTGACATTCAGCAAATAACATTATTATTCAGTTTCACTATCTATAGCCTAAGTAAAATATACTTGAATTTTTGGTGTGCGTATTTTGGATCAAATGAGAATGGTGCATAGTGAAAGAAATGAGAATGCATATGATCTATTAGATTTAAGTTCTAAGTGCAATTAAAAATCAAATATTCTGAAAAAAAATAAAAAAAATAATGGTGGCAATTTTGTAAATAAATTAAAATTTCCAAAAACGTACTACTACAACTGTCTACAAGTGTAAAATGCACCACGACAGTATGAAATGCAACATTCTCACAGTAAAGATATTCACACCTGAACCCACTCATATATATATATATATATCCAATTTATTTGTCTCAAAGCAAAGATTATGGATGATCTTAGTTTTTTCAAATGGACACATGTCCATATTATATTTGGTTTCGTGTTGGCTCTCTTATGGACCACAAGGCCCACATCCCGTCCATATGGACCTCATTCATAGAATTCTTTCACGATTGATCCTAGAATTATGATTTTATTTGAAATCACTGTTTTCAATTTTAATATTTCAAATCTCACAATTTCAATTTCAAACATTGGACCGAAACATGTAATTTAAATTGTAACAAGAGTAATGGATAAACTTCTTAAAACCGATTTGAAAATAATATTTTCTGTTACGTTACTGTTTTGAATATAACTTTTAATAGTTTATACTTCATGCGTCCGAAAACATTTTTCATGTCAACTTTATTTTTATTAATTCTTACATTACCCTTATATATATATATTCATTTTTTATTTATCCATTACATCTTACTTTTACGCATCACATCCAAATATATTTTTTAAAAGTAACATTCTTATTAAATTTTCTAAAAGTGAATATAAGGGAAATGAAAGATTTTAAAGACGGAAAAGGGGGGATAAAGTTTAAAATTACTAAAATTAAACATTGTTATTATAAAAAAATTCAAAAAAGTTAAATTTACATATAAATTTCTTATACCCGTTTCGGACGTATTTTAGGTCCACAAAAAAATAAGACCCGGCCCATGGAAATCGATGATATCCAATAATTACACAAGTAATCAATCAAAAGGAGAAGATATATAGGAGTAGATGTATATAACCAATGCTAATCCTATATTGTTAGGGAGCCCTAGCTTTCGTTGCTTTCCAATATCTCACCATTTTTTTATTAATTAGAAATCAATTAAGATTATTACACTTTTAAATTTACTTTTATCTTCAATTCTTGTTGGAAAATTAGGAGGAATGATAACACTCCTTAACAGCGTTTCAGGGAACAATATATGAACGAACGTGAAGAAATTTAATAGACTAAAGGAATCGCCTGATCACTTTTATATTAATAAAATTATTTCAGAGTATATCAAAATAATTTAATCGAATAAGAAGTTAGTATCAGGAACAAATATAAAAATTTTGTTGTATCTCAAACATGTCATGGGGCTCCAAACACCCACAATCTGGAAATTTGAAAAAACCACGGTGGCAATTTGGTAAACAAATTGAATTTTTCAAAAATGCACTACTACAAGTGTAAAATTCATCACGACGGTCTGAAAATGCACAATTCACATATTCTCACAGTAAGGAAAATCTCACATGAACCAACCCCTATATGTATAGGATCGACTTCGACTCCTTACGGTGAGATTGACATGTTACGGTGACATAACACAAAGCTCACTACTGCCAACTGTAAAGCATATATGGATTCTAAATAATACTCCCTCCGTCCTAAAACTTTTTTCCCGTTGCGCAAAACGAAGAAAAATCCCAAGTTTTTTCAATCTATTTTATTTAAATATTGGTATAGAAATAAAAAATAAAACATACATATTTAAAAATTACATCAAAAGTTCAACAAAACAAGTAGTGACAAAAATATTTTATTTTATCATATAAGCCATGAAAAACACAAATAAATATAAATTCCCGTGAAGTTGGAATAGTGCTTTGGAAAGAAAGTTTTAGGACGGAGGGAGTAATAATAATAATAATAATAATAATAATAATAATAATAATAATAATAATAATAATAATAATAATAATATATAAATATAATAATAAGTTTTATCAAAAGGGTATTAGTGGAAGGAAAGTAAAACATGGAAAATATTGTTGTTGATCTACAAAATGCAACGGGGTCTACCAAATGATGATAATTTTCAACATCGGTCATACCATATTTTTCATGCATGCGTTTCATTCATATTATACCAACTTTACTCGCTATCCCATTTTTTTGGATCATTTTGTTGTTATATCAATAATAATGGAAATGACGACAAAAATCATTTTCTTTAATTCACACTCATTCCAAATAATTAGTAGTCGGTATACGGTATACACGTAGTATATACTACGGAGTATATAATTTTCTATTTGTATATACTTCAAATTAAAATTTATATTTCTCTTTAAAAACTTAATATGTGCCTCATATATATCATTTCTCCTACTTCTAAACAAATTTTAAAGTACAATACTTTTTTTTAAATATTTTTTAAAATGTTGTAAAATCAAATTAAAAATTTTATTTTGTGATCGAAGAAGTACAATTTAATAGGTTCTTCGATCTATTAGACACGATCATTGGGAGCTAGTAGGAATGTCCATTATTCAATCCGGACCCGGACCGACCCGAAATCCAATCAAAACCGGACTGGTTCAGACCGGTCCGTTTTCGGTCCGGTCTTCAGTCCTCTAAAATCTCTTATTCGGTTTCCTGTGAGGTCTGATCCGGTCCACCGGGTTTTGGTCTGGACCGGTGGACCGGTCAAATTTTATTTTTTCCACTTTTTCTATTTAATACTACTCCTTTTGTTTTTTAAAGTACTTTCTCTTTCATTTTTTTATTTTCCCCAAAATACTTCTACTTTCTATTAAAAATTTATTTTTACCCTTATTTTTCTTACCCTACCTATCACATCATATTTTTTTACCAGTAATCTAACGATCACATCTTATTTTTATCCATCAAATCAATGACAAAATTAGAAAGTTAGCCACAACTATACACTACTTATTTTTTCTAGAAGTCAAATATGGAGGATTTTATGAAAAGGAGGAGGTATCATATAACTAATGAAGTTTTTCTTACATTTTGTTCATGTTACAATAATTTTAAGATTAATTCAATCTTACTTGTACTCCGTATTTGTTTATCACAATTTTTTAAAATTGTCAATTTAAATAAAATAGAAATTTAATTAATGTTTTTTCTTACAAATCATGTTACAATATTTTTAAGACTAATTCAATGTAATGTTACATTTTTGTTTTCTATCACAAAAATGAATTTTTTTGGGAAGAATAAAAGAACTTTTTTAAAACAATTTTTACACGTACCCTTTTAAAGTGATGTCTTTTACTATTTTCACTTATAAAAAA